AGTACTTCTGGATCACTTCAATTATTTATTCGGAGTTATTCGTACCGATTCTTACTTAAAATGCAGCTAGTTAGTTCTTGATTTGGCCAACTTCCGGACCTGATGGCTCTGAGATCTTGGATACACGGTCCTCTCTTTCTATCTTATGAAAAAGGTAGGAAAAGTGGGGGTAACTAGCAGTCCAGAGGTATATAGTCAAAGGACAGAACGCAGTCAGAAAAATGATTGCGTTCTAAGTCACATTGTCAGTACTAAAAATATGTAATATATGTGACGTAAAATACAGATATTACTGACAGTATACATGGTCGTAGCACTTTTCGTTATGGTCCAATGCCATTTTAGGTTACATAATGTGTCAAAATGTGTCATATGAATACATATATTGCACATATATATGTGACTGCTTCACCTCTTTTTGTTAAAGAGATAAAAGTCTACTGATATATAGTGCCAGAATCTGCAATAGTCGTAACATAAACTATATATGGATTTTTAGTACTGACAGTGTATGTACATCGATACACGGCCGTAGTAATGCCTTTCCCTATGTTCAATGTCATTTTAGATCAGGACGTAACATGTATTGTCAATATATGGATATTGAACATACGTCTGGCTACGTGTGCAGCTACTCCATCTCTTTTTGTTACACGTAACAAATAGAGATACAAATTTCTCATGCTCAGATATTCACGCAGATATATTTACACGAAATATTAGAATTTTATGAGTATTATAATGTGTATCTGTATGTACGTATGTATGTATATACTTCTATATATATAAATAATAAATATAAGTATACATACATACATACAGGCACACATTATAATACAGAGATATGTGAGTGAATATTAGAATGATATTTTATGTGCATTATTATGTACACACATTACAAAACATAAAATGTATTTCTAATTCATATCCACTATGTCTGTTTAGATATATTGAAAATATAAAATGCACCTAAAATTCCAATACATCTAAACAGACAGTGAATATGAATTAGAAATACATTTTTTGTTTTGTAATGTGTGTACATAATAATGCACATAAAACATAATTCTAATATTCACTCTCTATATTATGTGTGTCTGTATATGTATGTATATACTTATATTTATTATTTATATATATAGAAGTATATCTATACATACATATATACAGACACACATTATAATACTCACAAAATTATAATATTTTGTGTTAATATATCTGCGTGAATTTCTGAGCATGAAAAACTTGTATCTTTTTTTGTTACACGTAACAAAAAGAGATGAAGTAGTTACACATATGTGGATATGAATCAGAAATATATTTTATGTTTTGTAATGCGTGTACATCATATTGCACATAAAATATAATTCTAATATTCACTAATATGTCTATGTTATATCTGAATATATAAATATGCGTAACTCTCTTCTATCTCTTTTTATTATGGGCCTTCTACAAAAAGTCATTAGTCATGAATCAGAAGTCAGAAGCTAAAAATTGACGAATTATAGTTGTTAATTTTTAGCATCTGATTTTTGATATATGACTAATGGCTTATTGTAGAAGGCCCATTAGACGTAATAAAAAGAGATAGAATAGTTACATATGTATGTACATGTGATGTATCTATGAGTTGACAATACACGTTACATCCTAAATTAAAATGGCATGGGAACGAAGGTAAAAGTACTATTACATTACATGTGTATACATATATTTCAAATACATGTTTGTATCCGAAGATGTATTTATGTCACAGTCAGTGTTCACTTAGTAAAAATATACTTATTGTAACTTGCAGTTAGTCAGTGTATGCATCGACCAATAAGTGTATATATTTACTAAAACACTTTGAATATGATATACTCATATACATTTCATGGACGTACAGCGAAAATTATGCATATGGCTATTGACCATGTAATGTATGTTATATACAAGGTGTCCCATTTTAAATAACGGATAGGAATATCTCGGATGGTAAGCATTTTGGAGGAAATTTGTTTATACAAAAGTTGTAGGATGCAGACAAGGCTAACTTATGGTGACCTTGACCTGAACCTTGACGATGACCTTCAAGGTCATTTCAATATCAAGTCAATTTTTTCAAATGGAGCCCCTTATTTTTTAACCCGGAAGTAGAAAGAGCGGAAGATTTTACGTCCGAATATGACCTTGACCTTGACCTTCACCGCTATCTTCAAGGTCATTTTAATATCAAGTCGATTTTTTTAATGGAACCCCTCATTTTTTACCACGGAAATGGAAACAGAGGAAGATTTCACGTCCGCATGTGACCTTGACATTGAACTTGACCTCGACCTTCAAGATCATTTTAAGGTCAAATCGATTTTTTTTGAACGGAACCCCTTATTTTTTACCCCAAAACGAAACCCCTTATTTTTTACCCAGGAAGTGGAAAGCGCGGAAAATTTTACGTACAAATTTTAAGCGATTTCGGTAATTTAATATAAATTATGCTTATTAATGATCAACTGAGTAAGATTC